GTGTCGTGTCGTGTGTCGTTCGTGTGTCGTGTGTCGTGTGTCGTGTGTCGTGTCGTGTGTCGCGTGTGCTCACGAGCAGGTCGGGTGTGTTGTTGGTGTGCGCGCAGGAGACATTCCGGCGATGTGGCTGCGCGACTCGGCAGCGCAGGTGAACCATTACATCCCGTTGGCCGCCCACGACCTCCACCTCCAGGTCCTCATCGAAGGTGCGTTGCGTGTGCGCGGTCCACTTCTTGCTTCCGTTTCTCCAGCCATTCTCACTGTGTTGGGCGAATGGTGAGCAGGCCTGATCAAGCGGCAAGCCAATCGGATCCTGCTGGACCCCTACGCCAACGCCTTTCGCGACCAACTCTTTCACGAGTACGCCCATTCTCACGAGCTCGTCACCTGCTGCTATGCAGAAAAAAAAGGTGCTAAGCTGCCGCCACTTCCGCCGCAATCATGACAGTCTGTCGGCCAACGACCGGCGGGTGGGCAAGACGGAGGAGATCTGGGAGCGGAAGTACGAGGTCGACTCGCTGTGCTACTTCCTCTCCCTCTCCTTCAAGTACTGGAACGCCACCGGTTCGCGCGCTTTCCCACTTCTGCACTCTTTTCCATTTGTTTTGTATTTTGCTTGCGTTGGACTGGAAGGAGGGTGATGACGACGGTGGTGCAGGGAGCACGACGATGTTCGACGACGAGTGGCTGCGCGCGGCCGAGCTGGTGGTGCGCACGTGGAAGCTGGAGCAGAACCACGACCCCGACGTACTCCCACCACCGTAGCCCAGTCCTTGATGTTCTCCTGAGGCTCTTCTCATATAAGAGCGAGACAGACATCGCCGTACAAGTACCACAGCGAGATGGCGAAGCGCGGAGTCGGCGCGGACGCGGCCTACACCGGCATGACCTGGAGCGGTTCGTTTTCGTGTGTCGTTGTGCATGTCGTGTGTGCGCGCGTGTGTGTCGTGTGCGGTGATGATGACGACTTCGGTTTTGGGGCAACGTTGGTCATTAGGGTTCAGGCCGTCGGACGACGCGTGCAAGTATCCGTTCCTGGTGCCGTCCAACATGTTCGCCGTGGTCACGCTGGGCTACCTGGCTGAGATCGCCGAGCGGGTCTACGCCAACGGGGCGCTGCGGGCCGAGGCCTTGGCCCTGCGCCAGCAGATCGACGACGGTACTGACTCATCTACATATGTCGTACATTTCTTGCATATCTCGCATTCAAAGCGTTGCAGTGGAACCGTTGCAGTGGAACTGTTTGAATTTCTATTGGACTCTCACCAATCATGTTCGCGTCAGGCATCCACATGCACGCGGTAGTGAACCACGATGTATACGGCAAGATCTACGCCTATGAGGTGCGTTGGTTGTGGTTTGGTTTGGTGTCGTGTGGTGTCCGGCTCAACGAGTTGTTTTGTGGATTGGACCGCAGACGAACGGCTTGGGTCGGCACAACCTGATGGACGACGCCAACGTGCCGTCGCTGCTGTCGATGCCCTACCTGGGCTACCGCTCGCCGCACGACCCCGACGGCGCGATCGCCAACAACACGCGCCGGTTCGTGCTCTCCGAAGGCAACCGCTACTTCTACACCGGTAATGACCACCCTACTCTTCAAGGCTTTTGAATAAGTCATATGTGTGCGTGTGCGGATGGTGCATGTGCGTGTGCGTGTGCGTAGGTAAATTCGCCAGGGGGGTGGGCAGCCCGCACACGAAGCGCGGGTATGTGTGGCACATTGCTCTCTCCATGCAGGCGCTGACCTCAATCGACCCCCGCGAGATCCGGGACCTCATCGCCACTTGCGAGGTGCGCTCCCGCTACTTCTTCGGCGCCACAAAGGCTGCAGGATTCGTGCTCACCACGTCCGTCCGATGTGTGTCGTGCGGGTCGGTCTTGATGTGTGTCCTACATAGAACACGGACGCATCGACCGGGCTGATGCACGAGTCCTTCGACCCCGATTTTCCAGACAACTTCTCACGGCCGCACTTTGCGTGGGCCAACTCGCTGTTCGCCGAGCTGGTGCGCGACAAGCTGTCACTCCTTCTCACGCCCACCACCGACAAATAGAGAATATCAACCACATATGTCGTATGAACATACTGGCATGTTTAGCAAGTATGCGGGCCAGCATAGAACTATCTTTGTCGCATCGCAATTGGTAGAACACACAGATGGCCTGGCTAGATTGTCCAGTGGGCGGGGACAGGTTTGTGCTGGTCCCAGTAGGAGGGTCCGGCCTTTTGTATGAGCCCACCTCCCAAGCACAGCTGGCCTTGGTAGAACGCCACCACCTGATGCGGCGCCACTCCCCTATATAATAATTAAGAAGAAGAATCATCATCATTTGCATTACAGCATTCACACGTCAGTGAAGTGGCCTACGTGGTGGGACTTGAGAAGCGGTTGGGTCTGCAGTGTACCAGTGCGGTCGATCGAGAACTGAACGCGGTATTGTCCAGCGGCGTCAGTCGCCTCGCCATTGGCGGGCTGGAGCGGCTCGACTTGGCACGGGGCCGGCGCCCGCAGGTGGCCTACCTGGTACTCGCAGGCCAGCGCCTCGCCCGCCTAGCGCGACCGTCAATCAGCTTTCAACGAAAGATATACCACTCTGTGTGTCGTGTGTGTCGTGTGTCGTGCGTGTACCCGCAGGGCTTGGGGCGTGCCCGAGATCCAATGGACGTCGGAAGCGTAGAGTGAGTCAGTGAGGAGCGCGGGGTGGTCGGCGCCCTCCGCCACAGTCACCGAATTATTCTCCACGCTCTTATCTACCACATACAGCCTTGTCGTGTCGTGGTCAGTGAACGCGTCGTGGTCAGTGAACGCGTTTGGGCTGGAAAACGATTAGAGGCCGTACTTGTTGGCGTCTAATCGTCCCGGAATGCGGGCGCGCTGGCCAATCGTGTACTTAGTCATGCCCTCGTGCTTGCCTGCACACAACAAACCCACAAAGGCGCCGATCGGCATTGGTGTCTGTGTGTGTGTGTGTTGTGTGTGTGTTGTGTGTGTGTGCGCGCGCGCATACCCAGCACTGTCCCATCGAGGGAGTGGAAGAAGCCGGCGGTGGGCGGAATGTACTTGTCGACGAAACGCGAAAAGTTCCGCTTGCCGATGAAGCAGATGCCCGCCGAGCTCTTCTTCTCCGTGAGCCAGCCCCAGCCCGCCTCCTTGGCCATCTCTTTCACTTCACTACTCTCTCGAAAACGCCATCACCACACGCGCGTCAAACAAAAACGCACAAAAGCAAACGACACACGCACGGCACGACACGACACACGCGACGCGACATGACACGACACGACCCACGAAATGACACGACACACATGGTACGAACGTCTTGGTCAAGTGCCCGACGGGGAATAAGGTTCGCTTGAGCGCGTCTCCAGTTGTGTTGCTCAGGAAGTAGCTCTGGTCTTTCGTGGCATCCGCTCCCCGCATCAGATACAGCCTGCCTGCCATCCCGTACCAACGCACACGCACACGCACACGCACACGCACACGCACACGCCACACGCACACGCACACGCACACGCACACGATGTCGCCATCAGCAGAGCGGTGAGGGCGAGGGAACGAAGAATGTAGGGCGAGGCCGGACCATCGTGTTGCTGCCATATGCGCGCGTAGTGACCTGGTCGTACGTGGCAAACAAATAATAAATCAAATAATCAACAACAAATCAAATCCAATAAATATAAGAGAGTAAGAAATAATAAAAAGAAAAAAAAAGAATGATAATATTATGGATTGTGCACCGGTGGCGATGTAGTCGGCCTGGAATCGTGACTGGCAGAGGTGCAGGAAGCGCTTGAACTTGATCTCGCGGTTGCACATCACGTCCGGGTTGGGCGTGTGCCCAGCCTCGTAGGCCGCCATCGACGGAGTGAACACGTCGCTCCAGTACTCCCTGATGAACTCGACCTTGGGTTGGGTTTGTCCAACGGTGCGCGTGAGTCGCGCGCACGCAAGAAACGCGCACGCACCACCGCACACGGCACACACAACACGGCACACGGCAAGACACGAATGTTGCACCTTGTGCAGTGGAATCTGCAGCTGCGTGCAGATCTTCTTCGCATCGGCAAAGTCCTCGTCTGCTCGACACCGCCCGTGTTCATCTTCCTCCTGCGCGCCGCAAAACACCGTGTGTGTCGTGTGTCGTGTGTCGTGTGTCGTGTGTGCGTGCGTGTGCGTGCGTGCGCACCTGTGGATCCCAGTTGAGCATGTAGGCTCCCCGCACGTCGAACCCTCTGGGGACCCACAAACATCAGCCAACAATGATCCAATGGCTGCATCCCCCCCCCGCAGGACGCACCTTCGCTTGAGGAGGAGGGCGGTGACAGACGAGTCCACGCCGCCCGACATGCCGACCACCACCCGCACCTGCCCCGGCGCCCGACTGCTCAGCGCCTCGTCGGCCGCCATCGCCTCCACGTCCCGCACCACCCCACCAGCGGCCTCGGAGCTCAGCCCTCTTCGTACATCTGCGTAGCGGCAGCTCATCATCTGCCCTGGGCAGCGTGAGGGCAGCAGGGCCATGCGCAGGCGTGGCGCCACCCTCCGCATCGTTGATCAATTAATCAAAAGATGGATAATAATTATTATAAATCAACAATGGATATTTATGGTGCTGACGTCAGCAAATGTAGGGTACAAAGATCAACAGTGACATGTTGTTGGAAGGTCTGGGAAGTGCGAGCGTGGTGCCAAACCACCTCGCCTTGCCCGAGCACCACGAAACAACGTTCTTCAGCTGAGGACCTCCTCGTTCAACCAACTATCGTCGGTCGTTGATGTCGATGTAGTGGACGAGGAGGATGTCGAGGAAGAGCCACTCCTCCGCCTGCCAGTCCTCCCGCCACGCCCACCAGCAGCTGTTCTCCTTCTTCTCGTGGGCGTAGTCCTAGTGGTGGTCGTTGTGGTGGTCGTCGTTGTGGTCGTGGCCTGCTCCTCCTCTTCATCTTCACCGATGTCCACCACCAGGCGTCTCCTCGTCCGCCTCCGTCTACTACTCGGCACCAACTCCTCCTCACCGTCTTGCTCCTCCTCCTCACCTTCATCGGCAAAGTCGAGTCTCCTGCGCCGACCGCGTCGTCGTTGGCTCGCCGGCCGCTCGATTACTCCCTCGCCATCGCCAACCGCGTCAGCGTCGTTGTCGGCCGGGCCGCCCAGGCCCGTGAGATCGATGATCGACACGCGCGGCCGTCTGCGCGCGGCGTCCGTGGTCGATGGGCTGGTCAGCGCGGTGGTCATGGCGGCGCGTGTGGTCGACCGCGTGCGACGGGTCGCGACCGATTCCTGCGGCGGCTGGTGGTCGGGGCCTTGGTCGAGCAGCGAGAGCCGCGTGGCCTCCTCGATCTGGCGTTGGAAGTCGTCGTCGTCGCCATCGCCATTGGTGTCGTGGTCTTCGATGGGGCTGAGCAGGGAGTCGTCGTTGTGGTCATCGTCTTCTTCGTACGCACCACCATCATCATCATCGGAGATGACGACCTCCTCGAGGTCGATCTGGATGGCGTTGAACCGACCGCGCGCTGCCAGCACGCGCTCAAAGATGAGGCCCGGCCGGAAGTCCTGGCCCCACCACTCGTCGTCGCTCGCGATGAAGCCGGCGTCTTCGTCCGCCTGGTCTTCATCACCCTCCTCCTCCTGACCTTCCAGGAACTCGCGGTAGTAGAACTCCTCATCTGATTCGGTGAAGCGGTAGTCGCGCTTGCGCACGCGGACCTTCTCGGGAGCTCTCTTCCTCAATGTCGCGGCGCGCTTGCTTCTGCTCGGCGTCTGCGGGCCACCCAACTGTTGCCAAAAAAGTTTGTTATTAAATATTAATTATTCAAAAAAAAAACAGAAACATGAATTACACCAAATAAAAATTGCTACAAATGGAAAAGAAACAAAAAGAAATGGAGAAGGTACGGCGGTCTTGGTGATGGAGTTGAAGCGGCGCTTGCAGAGGGGGCACACGTTGGCCTTCTCGGCCCAGGTGGAGATGCACTCGAAGCAGAAAGGGTGCTCGCACGAGTTGAGGCGCCCCTGCACCGTGATGGCGTCGAAGCAGATCGAACAGTCCGGCGCTGCCGCTGCCGCGGGCTCGGCAGATGACGTGTCGCCAGTTGTCGATGACGTGGCCGCCTTCTCCACCTCCTCGCCCTCCTCCTTCTCTTTTCCCTTGCCCTCTTCTTCTTCTTCGGCCTTGTCCTGCCTTGTCCGCTTGCTGCTCCTTCTTCTTCTCGTGGCAGCCTGTGGTCTGTCCTCCCTGTCAGCTTCATAGTCGCTGCCATCGTCGTCTTCAATCCGCCTCTTCCTCACCACCACTCGGCCTCTACTACTACTCGTGGTCCGCCGGCGGCGAGCGCTGAGTGGCTGCTGTCGTTGGCGGGACCGAGTCGCTCTGGCCGGCGCTGGTGACGTGGCGGCCGCCGCTGCCACGGTGCTGTCATTGTCGCCAGTGGTGGGTGTGCGTGCCGCCAGCCGGCTGCTGCGACGGACTGCAGTTGCCGTGCTGGTCGATCGTGTGGTGGTGCCGCGGGACATGTTTTTGGGGCTTTTCTTTTCTCTTTTCGATTGACCGGTCTTGGCTAGCTTGGCGCTGGGAGGCGCGTCTGCTCGGCTCTTGGTGAAGAAGAAAAAGAGGCCTACCCAACTTCGTCAGCAAACACCACAAGCTCCCGCCTTTTTCGCTTTTTCAAAGCGAAATTTCAGCTTAATCCGGGAAAGCACAGGGCCGGCGAATCATGTTGCCTTATTGAAAAGCACAACATGATTTGCGAATCAAAATTCAAACATTCCGAGAAATGGAATGTTGACTTGGTTTGACCGGACGTCATTGGTTCTGACGAAATGTTCCGAATTTGTGTTGCTCGAAAGCTGCAAGAGAACTGCAGGATCATCGTGCAGCTTTTCTGTACGTCATAATGCTGGCATCTAAGGAATGATTCCTTATTTTGCTTTTTTTCTTTTATTCTAAGATCATCAAAATCCAGCCAGCAAGATGAATATGGTGAAGAAGGGAGTGGTGGCCACGCCGATTGGCGAGGCGGGCCAGGGCTTCTCGACCGCGCAGAAGGTGCTGCGGATGTCCGGCGCCCTGCGCCAGAACTGGCGGGGCGTCCACCCCCTGCAGCCGGAACGTCAAATGCAGCCGTCGCGGGCGAGATTGCTTCTGCGCCAGCGCACCAACTTCCGCATCTGGAAGACCTGGGCCGGCAAGACCAAGCAGCTTGCCCTCTCACCCCGAATCTACGGCTCCGGTACTTTAATCTCCTCTCTCTTCCCCCCCCTGCTTTCCTTGAATCTCGCACATTTTAATGACAATTTAAATCACTTCAAATCATCGTACGATCTCCAGTCACCACGGTGATAGTGCCGACCTGGACTCATACCGCGCACCCGGTGGATGAAAGCTATGGCCACGATGCCAGCAACGAAACGTTCTACCCCTACAAGAGCACGTACGTTCTCTTCCACGTCGCTCATGTTGCCCCAATTTTTCACCGTGTCGCTTTATGCTGTACTCACAACACACATACACACACAGCGTCAAGGGAACGCGGCACCGGGACGAGAAGACCGTGCTGGGCATCATCAACGATCAATGAACAAACCACACATCCTACTGGCGGCTGTGTAACGCAAGCAAACGTAAGTAAAGGAGTTCTACAGGCTTATTGTGGCGTGTGCTCTTCGTGTATGCTGCGGTCTGTTTGTGTTGCATGTTGTGGTGTTCGTTGGACTTTGCTCGAGCGAGCCGCGCATGTCGTGTTCGGTTCCGTTCTCCGGCTGTCATTAGTTCTTCGCCTTGGAGCTGAACTGGTTCTGGTGAGATTTCGGTTGGGGTCAGCCAAGGCCTCGACGACAAGCTTGGTGCCCCCCCCCCCGCACAACATCCACCTTGACGCCAACCTATAAAACCTTGACCAGGTGTGTTGCTTACAACCATTTTTATGGACTAGCTGGTAACAACAACAACAACAGCAGCAACACTACACAAGCAGCAGTTATGAGCAAGAAGCAAGGAAAGGTGTTGAGGCCTGCCTCGTTCGAGAACCCTCTCCACCGAAGCGACCAGGGCAAAGGTGTGAAGCCGATCCACCCGAGCACGACCGACCCCAAGTACACACCGCCGTCGTTCCAAGCGGCGGGCAAGGGGGAGGACGCGGACCTCCTGCAGACAGAAGAAGACGAGGCCTTGCGAGACCAGTCCTATGCCATCGGCGCCCTCCCCGACGACATCGAGTCCAGAGAGCTCGGCCAAATGCATGGCGACGTAAGGTTCGTACTCCACCAACACGCGTTCATCTTGGGGTTCCTCTACTTGCGCGAGACTTGTTTTGGTCTGATGCGCTGGTGTTGATGTTCTGCAGACACTTCAAGAAGCAGCTCAGCGGTGGAGTGCTGGAGGAGTTGAGAGAGACGCCTCAGCCACGACATGACTCGGGTTCGCTGGTGGACAAGGAAGACAAGGCACTCCTACACGACCGCATCTTGGCCCAAGATCCTGCTGATGGCCTTCCCTACAACGAGTGAGCCTCTACTTGAAGAAAATCTATTTTCCACTTCGTTTTCTCTCTGCCTCATTGTTATTTCCCGCTCTTTTTGATCGCAGCTGGACTTCATCGTTCGAGCGGCTGCAATTGCATTTGCATTCATTTCCCGAGATTCGGAGCCGTTGATTCTGAGCGCCATGTTCCCATTCGGATCGGGATTCGGAGGAGGGCCTAGCGATTCGGGAGCCGGTTCGGGCAGCGGCAGCCATGCGTTTTCATTTGGAAGCAGCGCTACCCCCGCCTCCACATCCTCCACACCTCCTCCTTCCACTTCCCTCTTTGGCGCTGGGTCGAGCGCTCTCGGCGGCACCTCTCTCTTCAGCCTCTCCGCCTCTGGATCTGCGTCATCTGCATTCAGTTTCCCATCTGCCAGCGTTGATCAACCATCCACATCATCCTTCGCCTCGAGCGGCTTTGGCGCGTTCGGCGCTTCCACCACCCCGAGCTCGGGAGCTGCAGCCACCACCTCGGGCTTCGGCGGCTTTGGCGTACCGGCCACCAGCGCCTTCACCGCTGCTGCCGGTGGTGCGCCCTTCGGTGCACCCGCGCCGGCGCCGCGCCGACCTTTTGGAGCACCAGCCGAGGAGCAGAACGGCAGCATGGATCATGGAGAAGACGATGAAGACCAAGACGCACAGGAGCTCAATGCCATGATGGCGCAGGGGCGGAAGCGGCTCGGGTTCTGCTGGGGTCGGCACGGCAACGAGTTCCTCCTCTGGAAGACGCAGCCGAGGAACGAACGCGAGCTGGTACCGCGCTACCAGACTCGTGTATGTCGCGTGTGTCGCGTGTGTCGCGTGTGGCATGTGTGTCGTTTGTGTCGCGTGTGCGGCTTTCTCACGCTCGCTGCCTGCGATGGTCGCAGAAGCAGAAGCAGAAGCAGCCGCAGCCAGAGGCTCTCGGTCTCGACTCGGTATGGACCGGTAACTTGGAGGCTCCGTTGGCCGAGACCCACAAGGTACTGTTTAGGCCTTCGTAGTTGACTACTCCTATCAGACTCTGATGTCAGCTCATCACTACCACGTCGACGATTCGCTCGACCCTTTCGGGGTGTCGCACCACAGTTGTTCAGCGAGGCGCACACGGTCTTCTTGGAGCTCCAGAAGTTTGCTGTCGAGTTCAGCAACAAGCCCGAACTCATGCGCGAGGTGACGTGCAAGCTCTCACCTCACCTCTTTTCCTTCGTCCGCCATCTCACGCGCGCTCCTTTCTCCTTCGCTTTTTTCGCGAACGACCAGGCGACGAAGAAGAGCAGCAAGAACTACCGGGTTGTCATCAATATCCTGATCAACAATCTGCAGCGGAAGCTGGAACGGCTCAACGGCAAGGTCGAGATGGACGACGAGAGCGGTACGCGTCGGCTTGCAGCGAACCTCCACAGATGGTTACTCTGTTTGCTAATTTCCTTCCTTTCCTTCTTTTTCCTCTTCTTCTTGCTGGCCGTCGCGCGCGCAGACAAATCGGCGGAGCAGCTGAGGGAGGAGCTAGGCTCGCAGCTGGCCTTGTGGAAGATTGCGGAGATCGTGTGGCACTTGTGCGACATCTTCTTCATCTCCTCGAAGCCCGAATCGGTCATCACGGAGCCCCTGGTCACCTGGCTGCAGCACTTTGATGGTACTTGCCACCCACCCGCTTCCCACTTCCCGCTTTTCGCTTTCGCTTTTCGCTTTCGGTCGCGTTCGCTAGATTGCTTACTTTTGTTGTTGTCGGGTTCTTTTTGCCGTGAACGAACAAACGAAACAAACAACAGTCAACATCAACGGCGAAACAAAGAGCAAGGAGGAGCTGGACTATCTCATCCGCGAAATAGGTACGTCTCTCCGCTGCAGGTGAGCGGCAGTATCGACACTGCCATTGGCGACCGGCCTAATCCTCCATTCCTCACATTGCTTCAATGTCCGCCGTCAGTCTCCTCGCCCGCCCCGGATCAGCACGACAGCTACTGGCCCGTCTTCTACAAGTACGTACACTGCAATCGGCAGACCCCGGATTGATTAGCTAAACTGCCTCTTCGCTTCGCTTTGCTTTGGTCTGGTCCGTACCAGACTGGTCCTGCGAGGCCAGATTCTGAAGGCGCTGGAGCTGCTCTACGCCCACTCGGAGAGACGCACGCAGACACAGACGAAGCGACGTGTGGCCAAGTCCACCAAGAACAACATCTGGCTCAAGACCGAGGTGCTGCTCAAGCACACGCCCGTGCTCCGCGAGGGCGAGTCCCTCATGCAGTTCGAAGCCGACTGGGACCAGTGGCGCGCCGACTGCCGGTACGGCGTGCGACGTATATGGACTCTGTGGCCTGAGACTCACGTGTGTCGTGTGCGTCGTGTGTGTCGTGTGTCCGATCTCTATAGCTCNCTGCAGGCCCAGGCGGAGTCCAAGGGCGACGACGACCTGCTGGCCCTCTTTACGCTGCTCAGCGGAGACGAGGGAGCCCTGCGAGATCTCAGCAGCAACTGGCAGGAGTTCCTCGTGGCCAGGCTGCTCTACGCCGAGCCCACGACCAAGAACGTTGAGTTCAGGTCCGTAACAACCGGAGAGAGCTACCAGAACACGCACCACCGCACACGCACCACCGCACACAGTGTCATTCTTCTCCAGAGAACTGATCGTGCTGATGATGATCACTCATCATCCCCCCCCTCTCTACAGATACCTCACCGAGCAGGCCACCCGACACTTCAGCCCGGCGAAGGACTCCTTCGACCAGATCCTGCTCCACGTGATGAACTTTGAGCCGTACGAGGCCGTCAAGGAGAGTTGGGAGCTCCTGCGCTGGTGGTTCGCCGCTCACCTGACGGACCTGCTCGCCCACGCCGGCCTCATCGAAGACGTCCAACTCGAGTACATGTCCCTCTTTTCTTTTGGCGAGCTCGTTTTCCTCGTTTTTCTTCAGGTTTCCTTCTTGGAGCTCACCATTCCTAAATGATTCTCATTGGCTGGCTCGTAGCGAGGGGGGTAACATGCGAGAATACTTCCTCGTGGGCTTTGTGCGAGACGAGCTCCTAGCATCGAACAAGACTCAGGTATTATTAAGGCATCGCTATGTACTTTGATTATCATTTTTCTGATGTGATGTATGTTCATACTGGCTTTGCAGAGCATGTGGCGCCTGGGGGTGAACTACCTGTCGTTCTGCCCCAGCTTTGGCACGGCCTACATGAAACACCTGCTCGAACAGATCCCGCTCGAGTCCGAAAAGCAGGTTCGTGTTCCACCTCATCTCGCCACAGATCCCCACTTTCCACCGCACGACACGACACACACGGCACACGTCGCAGAATGTATGTGGCCGAAGCGCGTGGAGAGTAATTTGGTGATTTGTGACACACTCCTCACTCTTCTCCGGCTCCAGGCGTACAAGGCGCTTGCCGTGTGCGGGCAGCACAACCTGGTCGACCAAGCCAAGCTCCTCTACATGGTACTTCCCCGTTGGCTTAGTCTCTCATGATGGCCTCCATCAGAACATTAAACCCGTGTTTCACTTTCTGGATGGCGATAGATCATGGGCATGCAGAAGTACCGGGAAAGGAGATACGGAGCTTCGATCCAGTGGTTCTTGCGAGCTGCTCACCACGTACGTCGCCTTGATCGTGTTCGTGTTGTGTGTTGCGTGCGGCGTCTGACTCTCCATCTCAGAGCCGATTGTCGCAAGTGGCGAACAAGCTGGTGGACGATTACTACCAGGGCAAGAGCATCAACGCCGATGAGGTCACGGCGGTGGTCGAGCAGTTGGACAAGGATTTCATCTTCTCCGAGCGGTTGGTGTTCTTGAGCAAGGTCAGAGATCTCAACATCTTCAAAGAGGTACCACACTTTCTCCCTTGTCGCATTCACCACCACAAACGCACCACCGCGCGCGCACAAACATGGGACTCATCCAAATACCTCGTATGCCTCTGCAGCAAAAGAACTGGCGTGCGGTTGCGGAATTGACTGTGGAGGTGATCTCCAAAAAACCTGGCTCCTCGCCGCTACTGGATCCGACTCCTTCGCGAAGTCGTTCCACTGCTCGAAGGTACTCCCTCTCCCTCCCTCCCTCTCTCTCTCTCTCACACCACTTCTCTCTTCTCTCGCTCTCGCATGAGTACCCTCGTCTGAGTATTCTTCTCATCTCATCTTCGCCAGCCACGCCTGTTCTGTTTGACTTCTATCAAACCGAGTTGCTCATGGCCTCGCTGGAGGATATCACCTCGGCCCACTACAGCAAAGGGTGCGTGTGTGTCGTGTTCTTCTTCGCGTCCTCTCGCCCACATGCTCACATTATCTCGCATGTTGTGTGTGCCCCGGGCAGGTACACGAAGAACATCTCCGACGACGAACTGGTCGCCATCCGACTGGCCCTCGCCAGGAACCGAGCCCGAGCGATTTGCCTCTGAGACTTGATATCAACTGTCGCGCACGTGACCTCCCCCCAAGGACTGCACAGCACAGTATAAAAATTGTCTTTTGGATGTGAGCGTTAATGGGGCGGGCCACCAATCACCAACAGTTGCTCTACAACAGTTGCGCGGTCAGTGTTGGGTTGCCGTCCCAATCGGACTGCCCCGGTCGTTGTCGCTTCTCCTTTTGCTCTTTCACGTCAACCCACACACACAACTTCATTCTGCTTTCGCACCTTCTTTCGTTGCGCCATCTTCAACACCAGAATGCTGCGCAGCAGTCTGTTCGCACTCGCGCTGGCCTGCATCATCTCCTTCCACGTCCAAGCGGTACCACCTTTAGAAATGTTTGGCTTTCTTTATTTCGATTATTGAACAGACCAGTGCTACTCGACAAGGTGGTTCCTGTACTTCGTCTTCTGCTTCACCTTCTCAACATCACGCAGGCCACTTGGGTGGTGGATGAAGGCGGGAAGGGCAACTTCACCTCCCTCAGCGGAGTCACGTCGGCCAAGGTCAAGCCCGGAGATATCCTACGCATGCGCGGTTCGTCCGGGTTCCTCCTTGCTTACCGCGTGGACCCAATCACTACTACTACTACTACATGTCCATTCACCAAGTTTGTGTGGTCAACAGGCACGTTCACCAAGGCCCAGGTCCTACAGAGTATCAACGTATGTTTAACTCCGCATAGATGTAACATCACACTGACAAGAGTACGTTTTTTTTTCTCACGCTTGTGCAGGGAACGAAGGCGCAGCCAATCACGATCACTAGCTACCCCGGCACCACTGCTGTCATCGATGGCGCCACGGTGCCGCTGAGCGGCGGCCAAGTACATCCTCTACATCCTCTACATCCCTACATATGCACATTTTATATGTAATGTCGCTATCAAGGCTCACGCAGGTGTAACAAATTCGTCTACGCAGGGTCTGCTCAAGCTCAGTGCCAGCAACCACATCGTGGTGGAGAACCTGCTCGTGCGCAACTCGAACAAGTCCGGGATCGTGTTCGACTACAGCAACAACGTGCTCGTACGGAACACGGTGGTGCACAACACCTGGGTCAGGTATTTTGAGTGTGCTGTGTGGTAGTTTGTTTATGCCGCCAGCCAATGGATGTTACATTGTATAAAAATTCTCTCCTCCAGAGCCATCGGCGGCTGCGGCGCAGATGTGGTGATCCACAACAACACGGTTTACAATGCTGTGATGCAGAATTACAACGCCTCGTCCACCACCGGCTGGGGCCAGGCCATGTCGTACGCGCACTCGCCCCTCATGTTCAACATTTTCAGTCGATCCAAGTCGTGTTGTTATTGCAAACACATTCTTTTCTTATGATTGCTGATTGGTGGTGGCCTACACGCAGTGTGGACAACTGCTTCATGCCCGACGACTCGACGAGCCGCAACTGGACCTTCCAGCACAACACCGTCTACAACAGCTGGGGCGAGGGCATCGACTGCATTCAGGTGATTGGGTGCACAGTGCGACAGAACGTTGTCTACAACACCTTTTCGGTGAACATATGTACGTACATATATTTCCAACATATATGTTGGAAAGATATATGTTCACGCAGCTCACGTGGCGTATATCAAAGTGCTCACCGTATGCTACTTCTGTGATGGGCGGCAGACATCGACAATGCGCGCGATGTGCTGGTGGACAGCAACTGGGTGTATTCGTCCAACTCCTTCTACTACCGGCGCGGTAAGCCCGCCACGGGCGTGCTCGTGGGGGCCGAGGAATGGCCGGTACGACCCGATCGCCTTCTGGATGAGCTCTGCGTGGGCCACCGCGTCAAACCGTTGAACAAAGGTTTTGCCTAAATTCTATTATACACTTTAGGTGGTGCCGCGTCCGACGTCCAACGTGACCATCCAAAACAATCTCCTCATCAACACCGACGGCATCGCCCAGTATCAGGAGGGAACGGTACGCACACATCGCTGGCGCTGATTGAAAAGACATATCTCTCAAATGCAATGAACCAGAACACGGTGTCTGGCGTGCGGATCTTCTACAACACCATTTGGAATCCCAGCACCAAGGTTCGTCCCGGAGTCATGTCCAAAACCTTTTATTTTGTCGCTCACCAATGACAAAACACACCGCCCCCAGCAAGCGCCGTTCTACTGGCCCGCGCAGCCCACCGTGTCCTCGGGAAACGTTCTCAAGAACAACATCTTTTGGGTCAAGGTGCGTGGCGTGGCATGATCATCACCTCACGTTCATTCCACACGATACGTATATCTCACTCCAATCAACTCTGCAACCTTCTGCTGGGTAGGACTCCTACGGCTGTGGCCTCGGTACGAAGGCTCCCCTTTTTTGGGTACATGTAGAAGGTGGTTGGGTACTGGTCTATTTCTCATCTCGACACTGAATTGTTGGTTACAGAGGAACAGCGTAGCGCGTGGCAGATCTCCAACAATGTCTGGGTCGGAGTACCCAGGTATGCCAAGCATCTCCCTTCTTGCTTTCTTCTCCTTCTTCTTCCCTTGTTGTTGATCTTCTTCTTCCACACTTGCAGCATGCCGACCGCCTGTGCTGACACGACGGGGCTGTCGTCGAAGGCCGTCGCCAACTCCTCCGCAATCCAGTTCGTG